CCACCTTGGAAACCACCCTTGGCCAGAGAATTTGGGAAGGGGGCAGAGGGGACGGAAACCAGCCCAAGGCAAACCCTGTTTACAAGTCCTGCCCCATAAATGCCAACCTCTCCAAGCTTGCAACCTTCTGGGCCATCTCAGTGCAGGGAGGGCCGGCTAAAAGCGTTCAAGCTTTGCCCCCTCCCAAATAGGTGGCTTGTGGGGGCCCCCCCCAAAACTCAGTCTCGCTGGTGGGGTGGCAAGAGAGAAGCCCCAAGCAGACGGTCAGGAGCAGCTGGGAAAAATCTAGTTTCGGCTGGACAAAACAAGGGATTCTTTGTTCTTCAGCCATTGGCACCGAGAAAAGGCTGCCTTCTTTGGGCCTCTAGCGAATTTTTTGGGGGGTTGTTTTTTTTGCAAATCCAGGCATCCAGTGTCCACAATTCACACCTGGCAGGTTTTCCTGGGAAACTGTGCGGGGTCCTTTATCCCAAAGGTGCTTCCCCACCGCCCCCAAAAGGCAACTGGATTTTCTGGGTTCTTCTTTTTTCTTTTAGAATAGAATAACAGAGTTGAAAGGGGCCTCGGAGGTCTTCTAGTCCAACCCCAGGCCTAGGCAGGAAACCCCACACCACTTCAGACAAAGGGTCATCCAACATCTATTATATAAATATAATACAATAGTAAAGATAAAATAATGATGATGATGATATGTTATAATTGATTATTATGGAAGGAATTATAATATAAGTTAGAATTTGTAAAAATTTGAGATTTGCTCAGAAAGGACAATGTGAACTTGCAATTAAAGTCTAATGATGATGTAATGATGAGATAACATGATATGGAAAGTTGATTAATATAATATGAATATAAATTTAAATCTAAGAGGGAAAGACGATAGATATTGTGCACAAGGAATATGTACCACTATATAACCGAAAGGTTTTATTTGTTATTGTTTTGTGTTTATGTTTGTTGTCAACAAATTAAAAACCTTTTTACAAAAAAAAAAAAGAGAAAAACTTCCTTGAAGGTGTTTCCCTTCTCCCCTGAGAAGCTTCTCTGGTTCTGACTGTGGGAGGTGCACCACCCAGAGAGCCAGCTGTCAGCTTTGCTCTGGGGTCCCAGCAGCAGCATGCCAGCAGGCCAGAGAGAGAGAGTCCAAGTCAAGTGGACGGGGCTTGACCACGTCTCTCCAGCCGGCGTGACCAGGAGCACGCCGGGGTCTTTGTGCCTGGGTCAGATCAGGATGGAGGGGCCTTCCCAAACTCTGGGCCCCCACACCGTGGTTCCCACGCCCCTCCAGATGACCGGGAGGATGGTCAGGAAGGGCTCAAGGCCAACAGGCCTTTTCCCAGACCCTGGTTGGAAAAGGAAGCCTGCAGTCTGGAAGGAAGCCCAGGCTTGGCTCATAACAGCTGACAAGGTTTGGTGGCTTCTTCTCGTTTGCATCTTGGATCCTAGAAGGGTATCTCTGCTTTGCTAGGAAACTATGCGCTCGGGCTTAGTTTTTGGGGAGGAAAATAAGGGTGGAGGGGAGTGGAAATTCCGCCTCTGCCTACCAGCCTCCATGGGTATTCACCTGGCTAGCGTCCTTGTCAGTGGGTGAGAGAGTGCTGTTTGGAAACTGAAACCGTATTTGCTGGGTGAGCAAGGAGGAGACAGCAAGGAGCCTGGGCGTGGCTTAGCTCAACTGTTCTCTACTAAAGCTGCTTGGTGCTGCTGTGAAACTGAAAGTGAAACTCCTCTGCTTGTGTTTTGCCTTTGGAAGAGGTTTCTTTTCAGGTGGGGAGGGGGAGTAGAACTCTTTAGCATCAGAGGGCGTTAATAATAATAATAATAATAATAATAATAATAATAATAATAATAATATTACAGGAAATACTCTAAATGCTCTGAGGGTCATTTCAAAAAATCCTTTCTTAGTGAGCCCCTAGAAGCCAAGAGGAACCTACGGGCTGAATTTCAAGTTTGTAGGCTTTACGGTTCTGAAGATTTTGTGATGATGCGTGAGGGGCATTTCGCTTTTTACATATATATCGATTTGTATATTGCCTTAAGGATGTTTTTGTTTTAATTTAGAATAAGAGATTACTTTATTATATATTTGTACCTATGCTGAACAAAGTTCCTTCCTTCCTTCCTTCCTTCCTTTCTCTCTCTCTCTCTTTCTCCCTCCCTCTCCCTTTTATTTCTTTATTCTTTCTTTCTGATTCTTTTTTCCTTCCTCCCTTCCTCCTTCCCCTTTTTCTTTCTTTATTCTTTCCCTCCCTCCCTTCTTTTCTTCCTCCCCCTTCCTCCCTTCCCTCCTCCCTCCCTTTCTCCTTTCTTTCCTTCCTTCCTTCCTTCCTTCCTTCCTTTCTTCTTCACCTTTTAACTCTTCTGCTCTTTGACCCCTTCTGCCCTTTAGCTTTTTATCTTTTCTTGAAACTTACTAAACTTCATTTCAAAATAAAAAAAAAAGAAAAAGAAAAAGAAACCACCTTTTGGGTGGACAAGGTGAATGACCGAAATAACAGACCTTCCTGGAACACTCGTGAAAGAGTTACACAATCACCGAATTTTGCATATAAATCTCTGCTTGAGCAGTTTCGGGGTTAAAGTTCCCATCAGGAGAGAGAGAAAAAAGTGCATTTGGCTGCAGAAAACAGCTGAAATGGAAAATGAATCTGAAATTCAGCTGATGGTATTTATTTTTGTGGTGTCCCAAATGTAGTCACGTGTTTTCCTATTCTCTCTGTTGTCACATCTGGTAAACCCTGCATTTTAAAAACGAATCCGCTTGCTTATTCATTACATTGTAAGCATCGATTAGCATCAGTGAGCTGTTGGACAGGATTTCTTGGTCTGTTGTGTGGATGCTTGTGTGTTTTTAGGGAGCGGGGAAGGTTGGTGCGTGTGTGTGTTTGGGGATTCTTGTGTGTGTGTGTGTGTGTGCATGTTGAGTCTGGTCTCTGGGTGTTACGTGAATGCTGTTGTGTGTGTAAACTGTGCATATACGTACAATGACAATAAAGTATTATTATATCCAGTTGGGCATTTTTAGCAGTAGCGAAACCTCCTCTAAATACTAATCTGTGCCCCCGTTTTTGGCCACCTGGCCTCCAAATGGGGAGGTGGGTTGCAGAGGGAAACAGGTGGGGGGGGAAATTGGGGGAAACTGTCCAGGACGAGGTTCCTTCCTTCCCTCTTTCTCTCTTCCCTCGTTTTTTTCCGTCTTTCGACACCACATTTTCTGACGGGCAATTTTTACAGTAAATGGGGGGGAAAACCCCCTTTGCTTCCTGTCGCCCCAGAAATATCGTGTAGGGAAATCTGGAAAATTAGCAAATGGCCTAAAATTGGAGGAAGTGAAAGTGAAGAAATGGCTGGGTGGGTGTGTGTGTGAAAAAAAAAATAGCCATTACAAATATGCTGCGATGAATGGAATTACATTTTTTAAAATTGTTTTTTAATTGTAGAATTTGTTTTAAAAAGTTCTTTTTTTTTTCAATAAAATAAAATAAAAAAATAGCCATTTTTTCCTCCTGATTTTCCATCTGGGCTTAAGCTGAGAGATGAGGAAGAAAAAAAATGCAAATAGTCCCTAGTTTACAAGGGTTCATTTAGTGACGGCTCCAAGTTAACAAAAGCAGTGGGGAGAGTGATTTAGGATTTGGTCCTCGCACTTATGACGGTTGCAGCATTCCCCCCCCCGGTCACATGATCAAAATGTGGGTGCTTGGCAACGGGTGCATACGGGGTGTTCCTCCACTTATGACCACCATGGAGCCTGTTGGGAGGGTGGGAGGCTGTTTGGAACCAGTTGTAAGGACCTTTGGGGGAAGCGGGTCCATCATCGTTTCAAATGGTCGGAAGTTGAGGACGGCCTGCATCGTCCTGGGGTTATTTGATGACGGTTTGTGACTTTCCCAGCTGGCCAAGTTAACAAGGAAAACAGGATTTGCTTTAACAAGCCTCTGATTTGCTTAACGAGATGGCAAGGATTCGTTTAACAACCAGGGCAAAAAGGACGTAAAATCAGGCCACGATTCGCTTAGCAGCCGCTTTGCTGGGCGATGGACATTTGGATCCCAGTTCTGGCTGCAAGTCAAGGACCACCTGAATAGGCTGATAAGGAGATTCTTTGCAAGGGCTGTTGAAAGCAGGAGGAGAACTTTGTGTGTGTGTGTGTGTGTGTGTGTGTGTCTGTGTGGGTGTGTGTGTTTGATCGAGGCGCCAGCCTGTCCGTCAGAAGCTGCACTTGTCCTCCTGTGGCTTTAGCGCTCTGGAGGAATCTCCCCCCTCCCCCCCGCCCCCCTTCCTTCCCTATATACGTCTATTTTGGTGCATTTCTGGCACCATCTAAAGGCAGCTTTATGGGGCGTCTAAAATCAGTTAGCCTTATTCATTTATTTTATTTATTGTTATATTATTATTATTATTATCATTATTATTATCATTATTTGCACAGTCAGCCAGATGTTCAGGCTGCGTTAGGCATTTATGTCTACCTATGAAATCCTTACCAAGCATTATTGCTATTGTTATAGTTATTATTATTTTTTTCTTCTTCTTCTTCTTCTTCTTCTTCTTCTTCTTCTTCTTCTTCTT